TTTCATTTCGGATGTGCTCCGAACGAAACCTTTACTAAAAACCGGTATTAACCTTTATTTACCGGTATTTTTGAAACCGGTTTCAAGCCCTGGACCATACTTTTAACTGTAGTCAGGCGGCTTGGACGTGTTTTAGTAATAGTGATATGAATCGCAAAAACATTGTTTCACTGCTGCTATTGTTAAATAGATATAGAAGAAAAAGAAATTTTTGGGTTCATCTGGTTCATTATGAACTCTGATGGGAACTATAAATTAGTTCTCGAAAATACTACGGTTTGAGAAGAGAATAAGATAATCTTTTTTGATTATTTTAGAATGAGTATCGATTAATTTGAATAACTTTTGAGTTTACCATGTTTACAAAAAGGATAGTACAAGGGAAATGTCAGAGCGAACTAAAATGGCGTCACTTAGCGCGACGTAATATCGCAGGAATGCGCGTTGCGTTCAGATCGGAAGGATTTTCGGTGTATTCGTGCGAGCTCTCAGTTATTTGCGATGCGATGCGGTAATGTGTGGTAGACGTGTGTCGATCTTTAAGAAAACGACTCAATGTTCCGAAACAACAATGTGATGCAAATGATCTGGAACAGTTGCCCGGTATCTCTTATCTATTAGAGATAGATAAAGAGAATATTTAAGTTATAAGTTAAGAATAGTCTGATAAGACTACAAACCGGATTTGAGTAACGTAGCACTTCCGGTTTTCGAGAAATCACGAATTTCAAACGAAACCACACAAAATCTCCGTAGTTCTCAATATTTTTTTTTTAAATCAGGTTTTGGTGAACATTTGGTTCACTGGTTTGCTAGTCTCTTATCTATTAGACAAGTCCGTCTGTCTGTGGTGCTCTTTCAGCGGCCAAACCGTAAGAGATAGATAAAGAGAATATTTAAGTTAAAAGTTAAGAATAGTCTGATAAGACTACAAACCGGATTTCAGTAACGTAGCACTTCCGGTTTTCGAGAAATCAGGTTTTGGTGAACATTTGGTTCACTGGTTTGCTAGTAAAATGTCTCATTTGGAACTCGATCACTGTATAGGCGTAACGGAACGACGGGAGTGACGAATGAGTCAGTGAGACGCACTCATAGAGTATACTAGTATATAGGGAATGCACTGATGCAGTACGCATAGATTGTGTCTGAGTGAGTGTGGTTCTGAGAAACACGATGGTTGCCGATCACCACCGACGACTTCTATTTCGCAAAAGGAAGATAAACCTCAACTTAGTTTCAATTGAATGTATCAATAGCAAATTATATTTGTTTCTTAGGTTTTCACGCACATCACTCATTAAATAAAACTAGTTTTTACGGGTTAATGCACGAAAATTTATTTATTTATTGACGTTTCGCAGCCTTTTCAGGTCTGCATCACCAGAATAATGATTTTTTATTTAAAATTGTCGAGCTACCTTCGAAAGACTTATATTGAGCGTTCGGTTATTTCATTGGAAGATTTTTAAAATTTTATTGTCTATGTATGAATTTATTATTTAATTTACTTAATAAAGTATTTTATTTAAAATTCTTGTTCGTAATTTTGAGTTTATTTATTTATTTGACCCTAACTACCGTAAACTACCACCGGTTCCAAAATTGGGAGACCTTCCTGAGAAGAACCGGCGAAACAAACTCAAGAGAGGCTTTCTATCTCCTTCTTATGTTAAATTATGCAAACAAAAAGAACTAATAGTATCTGATGGTCTTGCAAAGCAAAGCAAGCAAATTATAGTTTTAAACAGATATAAATCACTGCGTAAACGCATTTCAAATAACTCGATGTTCCAAATGAAACATTAATATGTTTCATTTGGAACATCGAGTTATTTGAAATTCAATGTTCCGGAACATTGCACTGTTCCAGATGCAATTGTTCCAGTTTGATTAGGGATACAGATTTGCCACGACTAATGTGTGGGAGCACTACTACCTATGATATTTCTGGGTAGGTGTGATTCAAACTTAATGGTTTAGTTAGTTTATTAGTGATCACTAAACATTAGGTGGCCCGTCCGCTCGTTCGCCTTCGAAGGCAATAAAAAAACCTAGAATGCCTAATGCAATTAGTCACTGAATGTCTGATGTTGGATATCTTGCTGTCAAATATTAAAATTTTAAGCGTTTCTGTGAAACCAGTAATCTCTAATCTGTAATCTGTAAGTTCGGCATTAAAAAGCCTCACAAATTCAATTAAAAAAGTACTAATAACAAAAAAGAAACACACGAACACAAAATCCCGCGTCCCGAGCACCTGTTTCATCTTAAAGCTAAAAAAATTTCAACAAAAAATATTGTTCTCATTTTCATATCGAGCGGCAAACGAAACCGTTGGCCCGGGTGGGAGGCACTTCAACGTATAAATATTAATGGCTAAAGGTACTCGGTAAATATGTATGCTAATGTAGAGTAAGTACTCTGTTTTCATCGTTATCAATAGATATTGAATGTAGTACATTATATAAGTACTTAACAATTTGACAACACGTTTGTAATACAATTCAGCAGGACCAAGTTTGCTGTAAATAGTTTCATTTCTAGAGCATGTCACAGCTATAATAAATACTTCAGGGGATTGGATATATTTTGCCTTCCTTACAATCAATTTAGAAATGAATGCTATAAGGTCGTTTTACCCTAACACTAAGTAATAATTTTCTTTTATTCACATCACTCTAAATATTGTACGTAATCTTAAGTAAATTATGTAAGTGTATGAATGTTTCAGTCTGTGGAAACTTAACTGGTTTATGAAAAAGTAATAAGTGTTACTTAATTGAATTGTGTAAAACTGTATGTTTTCCCAATGAAAATAAATAAATATCAATAGGTGGAAAAAGTGGACAGAGTGTCCTTAAGATTTCAGAAGTTTTCACGTATGTATTAAAACATTGTTTCGAAGTTGTATTGAACTTGTTGTTTCAAGAGGAGTATTGAAGATCACCTCGCACTACGTGACTTTTGTAAACTGTTTACTGGATATTTCGGGGTTTTTGTATATTTATTGTTACCTTTTCTACATAATGTGGTGGAAGTTGACATCAATACATGTTTATAAGTTTGATGTCAGCTTTCAATTTGACGAGACTGTATGAAATGATAGAGTGAGAAAAAAGCAGCCCTTATTGAGTTTCTTGCCGGTTCTTCTCGGTACAAGGTCTCCGACCGTAGACTTGTGAATCGATGGCGTAGCTTTTGACTTTCAAATGTGCTTGTAAAAGCCTAAACTGAATAAATGAATATTGATTTTTGAACACAATGACATTTCGGACTCGCAAACGTTACGAATTCGATATTGGTTCGTGCTAGGGGTACAGTACCCCTAACAAGACCCATTATCGAATTCAAATAGTTGTGTGTCCGTAATGTCATTGTCAAATGCGTACTGATTTCTAGTTCCCGTTACGTAGTTTCAAGTTTCCATACAAAACTTGATATTGACATTTCGCACTCGCAAACTATTCGAATTCGATAATGGTTCGTGCTAGAGGTTCAGAAACCTCTCCACGCGAGTGTGACTTGCCTTGCCCGGTTTTTTAAACATTAATCTTATCATGTCAAATTGTGATTTAATTAAACAAAATGCTTTGAGTGATTACTAGTTAATCTTACATAGTTGATTAATAAAAATTAATCTGAACATTTTCACACCGCGATAAAAAATAAATACGCACTTAACATAATTATCAAAACAAGGAAACATTATTATCGCTCATCGATAGTGAAAAACAAATGTACGAGTACAACGTATATGTTCTACATTCAACAATTAATTCTTCTATAAAAATTGAGGAACATGATAAAATTCATTCCATATAAATAAATTGAGTTTTATTAAAACTTATATATTTTATTTAAGTATATATGTTTATTTATACATCTAGATAGATATACTAGCTGACCCAGCGAACTTCGCACCGCCATAAAAAATAGGGGTTGGTGGTAGAAAGTTGAAAATTTAAGGCTGTATGTATTTTTATATGATGTATCATAAAAAAACAAAAAAAAAAATCTAAAATTGAAAAAAAAAATTTAGGGGTGGATTACCCTTAACATTTAAGGGGATATGCACACAAAATTTCATGAGAATCGGAACAGCCGTTTCGGAGGAGTTTAACCACAAACACCGCGACACGAGAATTTTATATAGTAGATATCTTGGTTTTGTTTATGTAAGTATTGTATTTTGTTATTTATATTCAGGAGGCAGACACTGACGGCTTTTTCTTAAGTAAGAAGAAGAAATTTCAATATGAAATAAGCAGCGCACTTGTACAAATTTCTTGCTCATGTTCTTTTTATCTGTTTTATTGTGTGTGTACTAAATTAGTAAACAAACTAGCAAACCAGTGAACCAAATGTCCACCAAAACCTGATTTAAAAAAAAAAAAATATTGTGAACTTCCGAGATTTTGTGTGGTTTCGTTTGAAATTCGTGATTTCTCGAAAACCGGAAGTGCTACGTTACTCAAATCCGGTTTGTAGTCTTATCAGACTATTCTTAACTTATAACTTAAACATTCTCCTTATCTATCTCTTACGGTTTCGCCGCTGAAACAGCACCACAGACAGACGGACGGACTTGTCTAAAAGATAAGAGATAAAATTGAGGATTTTTCAGGCGACCAAAACCAATGTTTATTTCCATTAAACAGACAGACCATAAAATTTCATCTCACTGGACGTGGTCATTCAAATCATGCTATAAACAAGAAAGTATAGCACTCACGTAGTATTTACAACTGGCGTCCTACGATTTACGACTTCTAAACGCGCCTTCTGAGACATCCCCGGAATGTTTATAACCTTTTTATATTTATTTAGCTTGCATGATTCATATCAAATCTACCACAATATATCCTCGTGTCAAACAGTAAAGGCCTAACGTTTCTGCTATCATAATGAATCTCATTTGAATCTAACAGTGGCATTGTTGACTAATTTTATTGGCTCTTTTGTTTCAAGTTGACCATAAGGTTTCCTTTAGCACTCACCTTAACCGGCGATGATGACAGCCAAAGTTGGAACAGATCTGACGTGACTGATGTACTCCGAGCTTCGTGCCGTGGCCTTGGAGACAACGGCCCAGATGTTGTTATATTATGAATCCTATTCACTTCATCCGAAGAAGCGCACTCCTTCAAATACCTTTCCAGAACTTTCGGTTTGCTTTCCAATATTTTTTTCAACTCGAGCAGATCTTCATCCGTACAGTCATCGGGTGAAGCCCGCTCGATCACTTCCTTAAACTCATCGGCACATTGCATTATAAGTTCATTTGTAGCTAATACATCAAACACAACCTTATTCCCTAAATCTTCTGGACTAGATCCGTCTAAAACTTTGAGGTATACATCATTATCATCGCATGGTCTTTCCAGTACTGTTTCACAGCCGTTCTGTTCTGTGATCTCGACGATCGTGATTGGTGGGTTTTCTTTTAGCATGTTGTTGTTTTCGTGATATTCAGGCGTTTCTATTTCTTCTGGCAGTTCGTAAACTAATTTCATGAGTTCCTGCGATCTCTTTTGTTTTACGTCTACGTGGTTCTCTGTTTTTTTGGCATTTGGCAACTCGTCTGCGAATTTCGTACATTCGTCCACTTTTTTAGCATCAGGACTTTTAACAACGGCGTCGATGGATTCTTCGGAGGTCATGGCAGATTTAGTGGGTTGTCTTTGGGGTGAAAGAGCTGCTGTCGGCGTCCCACATTTCTTACTTAGAGGACCTGTGAACAATGGAAATACACTATTAATCGTCACTTCCTTTTTTTCTTACTTATTAATAAATATTTTTTCTGAAAAATTTAAATAAAAATTTTACTGTTTCAGTATTAGAATAAGCTTAACGTTATGCAAAGTGGATTCTCTTTTTTACGAATAATATTTTTATAAAATGAAAAATATGTTGAAACATGCCTTTATTTGAACAACCATTAGCGTCATAATATTTGTATCAACAGTTTAAATTTTTCGACTAACTAGGTAATGAATATTCACGTATGGTAATTCGATTCAGGCGTAAGTAATCAAATAAAATTCAAGCGGAATATATTTTTTATTTTGTGACAAATTATTGAAAAATACTTTCGCATGTTCCACGGGGATTACTTAAACACGTGCTTAGATTAGATTTGTTATATTTTATATATTTTTCGCTTCAAATTCTGAAGGTAGATACAAAACACACTACAATGAGCTACTTAACAAGTTTGCGTGATAAAAAGGGCAAACATCCATTACATGAAGATATTCATTTGATTAATTTTATAGCTGTCCCAGCGAACTTCGTACCGCCATAAATTAGTATTTTTGTACGATGCATCATAACAAAAATAAAAACAAAAAAATGACAAAAAAGGTGAACCACCCTTAACATTAAGGGGGATGAAAAATAGATGTTGTCCGAATCTCAGACCTACTGGAAATTCATATAAAATTTCACGAAAATCGGTCGAGCCGTTTCGGAGTAGTTCAATAAACGCAGACCATCACACGAGACTTTTATATATTAGATAATACATATACTACATATAACACTCAGGTTTAAAGTAATATAAATATTAATAAAAGGCTAATCTCGGAGAAAGATATTTGAATAATTACATACAATTAACCACGATCGGTTTTTCCATTCAATATGGCTTTTATTAATAAATAAATAAATATTTCCAACACTCACACCAATTAGCCTAGCCCCAAAGTGAGCACTGTAAGGCTTGTGTTATGAGATACTAGGGTAACGGATAGAATACACATATTGTACATATATAAGTATATTTATATAGAAATACTTATTAAACATCCATGACTGGAGTACAAATGCTCGTATTCATCTCACAAACATCTGCCCCCACCGGGATTCGAACGGGACCTCTAGAGTTGGCGACACCATGAAACCCGGCTTATAAACCATTCGGCCGTGGAGGTCGTCGTGGTGAATACAATGAGGGCTACCGTTTTCTGCCTCACCAGATGGCGCCACTGTTGAGTGAGGTCCTAAATTGTAACTTTTAAAGTTTATTGATACGCACATGAAATCAAAGGTTACATTTAGATCGTATTTTAACACAAAAGAACCATATCCTAAACATAATAGGCCATGCCACAGTGACGCGCAGTTCCGTTTTATTTGGAAAAATGGGAACATAATCATTTTTCTAAGCTCAAATTTTTAATAACTGACATTCATTGCCACATAACTCATATTTGCCATAATTAAGCCGAAGTGTTACCAATTATTCACAACATTATTTTAATTAGAAATAAACCCGCGTAGTCAACCAACAAGCAATAACATTTGACATTTCGGAGACCTCACGCTACACTAGCGCCTCTAGCGGCGGATTCATACGCGATAACCCTCATTACGTTAGCATTATATTGTTGAACTAGCTTTTGCCCGCGACTTCGTCCGCGTTATCTTCGTTTTTCGTAAAAAAGTAGCATATGTCCTTCCTCAGGGTTCCGTGGTTTTGATGACACATTAACTTTCGTATTTTAGTAGGGAAATATAATACTGTTAAAAATATCGCAATAAGGAACTGGGTTACTTTAAGCCGCAAGCAAATGCAAATTTGTGGTGGTCTTAAATTTGGGAGCAGAATAATCGGAATGCCAATTTTTAAACAAATTTCATGAGAAGGAAGTACGGGCATATTTAAAGAATTTAAAAATTCTATCGGGTAATTAGTGGCTTCTTGTTCATCGGCCATTCTATTTATTGAACTATAAACTTTGCTTTCCCCCTGGATATTCGACAGTATTTTATTATTAATCTCAGATGCCTGGTCATTGCGAGGAGTTAAAATGGACCTTTCGCATAGCCAAGAATTGTTCTTATTTAATACTAGCTTTTGCCCGCGACTTCGTCCACGTTATCGTCGTTTTTCGTAAAAAAGTAGCATATGTCCTTCCTCAGGGTTCCGTGGTTTTGATGTGACAAACAGATTAACTTTCGTATTTTAGTAGGGAAATATAATACTGTTAAAAATATCGCAATAAGGAACCGCAGAATATTATTATTATCACTGTGCCCCGAGACCATCAGCGTGTAACTCCTTGTATGTTATTATGTTAATGTATTGGTAATATTGTATAGATCGCTTTCACATGAGTCTTAAGTACATATAGAATGAAAATACTTCAGCGCAAAGCTTCCGGGTAGACAACGTTGAAATTTGACCCGTCCGGAACGTGAACATAAAAAATTCTAGGATTGCTAACCCGGGAAAGACCGACATAACTGACCATGTGAAAAACAACTGACACCGAGATCTACTCCAACAACACGAAAGGCCTGCCCTTGAGCCTTATTATTGTCATTGCATAACACACCGATACTGGGAATTGCGTTCTTTTAAATTGGAATGGAAAATTATTTGGTATTATGGGAATTCTGGGAATAAAGATGGTTTCTCCTGCACCGCAACCTATTAAAATTTGAGCCTCGATTACATTTTGTTGCAACTGGGTTACTTTAAGCCGAGTTCCATTGCAAATTTGTGGTGGTCTTAAATTTCGGAGCAGAATAATCGGAATGCCAATTTTCAAACAAATTTCATGAGAAGGAAGTACGGGCATATTTAAAGAATTTAATAATTCTATCGGGTAATTAGTGGCTTCTTGTTCATCGGCCATTCTATTTATTGAACTATAAACTTTGCTTTCCCCCTGGATATTCGACAGTATTTTATTATTAATCTCAGATGCCTGGTCATTGGGAGGAGTTAAAATGGACCATAGACCAGGCATAGCCAAGAATTGTTCTTATTTAATATATTTGTTACGTCACCGTAAACTGACGATGTAAGATGTTGTTGGGATTGCACTATACAACATAACTCAGGCGTCAGAATAAGTTTTCCTTGGTGTAGCAGTGGATAGGTATCTTTGGTGAAGGTATTTTCTTTAATAATATATCAGAAAATTCACGATCATCCGGGTTATCTACAGTTCTCACTCGCATGTTTATAGTCAAATGCACCGATTGTATATCACGCCACAAATAAGAGCTTTTCAGGCAAGCCCTAACCTCAGCAGCTCGGGTTCCCCGTGGTATTACCGTTAAGGTTTGTCGGAAATCACCACAAAATAAAACTGTGATACCGCCCATGGGTCGATCATTTTGTCTTATATCTCTTAAAGTTCTGTCTACCGCTTCTACTCCTTTTCGATGGGCCATCGTACATTCATCCTATATGATTAAATTACACTTTAAACGAATATTTAAACACTACCAAAACAACTAATACGTGGTCCTAACTTTAGCTACCTTACACATAAAATCTAAGTGACTATTTGAACTAAAATATTCTTATAGAATTATAACCAGAAATATATACAACTCACAACAAAAAAGAAATGAAAATAAAGCTGAAACGCCTGTGCAATACTATCTACCTATACCTCCTTCACTTAAAAATAAATACTTATAACTACTTTAATTAATAAAAGTACCTACGCTTAATAATTTTTAATTTGAACGAATATTTAAACACTACCAAAACAACTAATACCTGTTTTACAAAATAACAACAAAAGATATTCAAATAAACTATTTAAAGACTAAAAGTCGCGCTGATAAGCACGGTTTCGGTCTCCCAAGCGGGGGAGCAGATGAGAAATCCTCATGGATACCCAAAGCCGGCTGCAAGGTTATGTCAGACTCGTACTGACTAAAAAATACCCGTAGGGGCTGCCTCTGGCCGGTAAGGCCTCTAAGGCTTCATCGGAAGCGATCGTCCCCCAGGGGGGGAGCGACGCAGAAAACAGATTTAGACAGCTCGCTCTCGGACCTTTGATACCCTACCGCTGCCGCGACCCGTGTCGAGCGCGGCAACCGTTACACAAAAATAATCCTTATAGCATGATTCAGTATTCACGTGCGACGGCGCGATGGCTTATTTCATGTATAAGTTTGGTGTTTCTATACCGAGTATTATAAACGTAAGAGTAAACAAATATGATCAGAATGCTCCGAACTGCTAAGCTATCGGGAGTTACACGTGTTATTGTGAGTCAACCATAAAAGATAGACATATGCTGTTGCGAAATATTTTTTAGACAATTTTATGTAGAATATTTCCGTCATACATGATTTCTATGTAACTTTAATCATTAAGGCTGCACACGCGACGGAAGCTTAAAAAATGGAGTAACTTCTCCCGTTTTCCCAACATTTCCCTTCACTACTCTGCTCCTACTGATTGTAGCGTGATAAAAAGTATACTATAACCTGCCCAGGAGTATGAAGAATAATTGTACCAAGTTTCGTTAAAATCCGTCGAGTAGTTTTTGTTTCTATAAGGAACATACACACAGACAGACAGACAGACAGACAGACAACAAATTTACTGATTGCATTTTTGGCATCAGTATCGATCACTAATCACCCCCTGATAGTTATTTTAAAAATATATTTCATGTACAGAATTGACATCTCTACAGATTTATTATAAGTATAGATTACACGTCTTATTGTGAGTCAACCATAAAAGATAGACATATGCTGTTGCGGGATATTTTGTAGACAATTTTATGTAAAATATTTCCGTCATACATGATTTCTATGTAACTTTAACCATTAAGGCTGCACACGCGACGGAAGCTTAAAAAATAGAGTAACTTCTCCCGTTTTTCCAATATTTCCCTTCACTACTCTGCTCCTATTGATTGTAGCGTGATGAAAAGTATACTATAACCTGCCCAGGAGTATGAAGAATAATTGTACCAAGTTTCG